CACAATTCTTATAAAAATAATAATTTTTAAAACTGGAAACAAAATATACATTGTTATTAAGTGATAATTTATAATACCATTACAAGTAAGCGTACAATTTTCAACATCGATATCATGATTGTTCGACAGACACAAATTCTCCGAAAATGAAGAAGCAAAACATGGTGAAATAAGTGTTTCGAATCTGACGTTTTATTTCTAAATGTATCTGCAACGTTTCTCGATATCGGCTTTATCTTTTCGTATTCCTTTCAGATAGTTCCATTTCATACACCTTATCGTTTAATACTTTACTCACTTATTGTTTACGACTAACTATTGTATTATATTTTACGCGGATAAAATAGGTCCTGCAACAGGGATACGCTTTCGTAGGATTCACGTTTCGTAACTCGGGTCTCCCCTTCGCTCGGGGGACAACGCGCGTAACCGAACGAAAGAAAAGGAGATGTTAGCGCATACAAATCGTTTCTTTCGTTCACCGTTACCTCCATATTGGAACAGTGAATCCTACGGGAAGGAGGAAGGCCCATCTATGAAGCAATATTTCGGAGAAAGGAACATTCATTAACTCGAGAACGAGTGATAACTATAGAAATAATTTTGTAAATTATCGCGCGAAAATTCTATACGGGAAATTCTTGTTCGGAACAAAACTGTAATTTCCTCAATCACGTAAAAGCGATTACGAGCTCGCGAAAGAAGCAACCCGTGTAAAACGTTTGAAGAACGAAACTGACGGCGCATCCTAAAGGTTTATGCTAACGCTCGTAACGGAAATCTATCGTTTACTCGCTACACGAATGGTACTGGTTTCATTTGTATCCTGAAACTCGGAATCTTTTTACACGGGTCATTCTTGTCGCGAGCTCTTCTTCTTCTTCTTCTTCTTTTTCTTCTTCTTCTTCTTCTTCGATCTCTCTCTTTTCTTCGGTAGAACTCCGTGACACAGTTGTCTTACGGATCATGAAAAAAGAGCAACTGTATGACCGCAATCGAATGATAAACGCGTGCGTGTGTTCTTTCTCTTTGTTGTTACCGTCGAATAACATTCGAGAAATCCCTTGAATAATTTAATGAGAATAATGAATATAAGATAAGTCTTTAGCGCAAAACCACGATATCGTATTCCTCCCTCATCGACAGGTAGACAGAGATACGATTAAGCATCATTTCTCGACGTTATCTTCATTCATTATTGCGTATCTCTTTTTTCATCGTCGTCTCGGCGTCGTTACAAATTATTCCTGGCAATAAGACAAAATTCATGACCTTTCGGAGTGTCGTTACGTTGCATACCATCGATAAGTCCGCGGTGAAGTGTACCCTTATTCGCGATTCCGACGCAACGGGACAAATTTTGAATTATTACCATTTTCTACTACAATTTCCGATACATCCAGAATCGTCTCTCGAGTCCTCTCGAGTCCCCTCGAGCGGATAACGGATGTACGAAAATTTGAATGTCCTTTAGTTCTCAATACCTCGCAAAACACGAATATTCTAACCCCAGAATGCTTCTAGGCCCCACGAAAAAGCAAATTGGGGCAATCATATGAATATATATATCACATTACCTTTCTTCAATGTTACAAAACTGAACGAAAACTCGCGGATTTGTCGAGCACGCGAAAGAGTCCCCAATGAATTTCCAAAGGCGAACGGAAACACGGTGGACCATTATTAACTTAAACGGAGAGATAAAAAAATGACAGAATTTCGAACATTCGATTGGAGACACTTCGAACGCGTTACTCCCAAGCGGGTTCTAATTGAATTTCGTATAGAAGACGTGCGCTTCGTGTAATCGGATACCAATTATTATATACAATTTCGAAATAACCGTTAAATAAGTCGGGCTCCGTTTTGTTTAACAAAACGGTCGGATGTTTGTTGCGTGTAGTAAGATCGTTTTCGTCGAATTCGCATTTCTTTCATCATCGTTTTTCCATGGATCTACGTACACAATGATCCGCCAATTAAATCTTGATTGATTCATACACGCCGGTATCAGGTAATAAGACATAACAGACATTCTATTCGCGGAAGAATGAGAAAGCTAAGGATTAAATAGAGAAATTAAGAGATGGCCGCATTTCATCTCAGATTTCAATATTCTTCTCGCTTAAATGTTTCTATGTAATGTACTCATGATCATAAACCAAGACTCTCTGGAGAATGACCATTTCTTTTCCATTCGGTTATGCCGTCTACGCGACTCGTATTTATCGATTGTGGTCCTATCAATGAAATTGTTATAATAAATATAGTGTAGAATCGACGAGCACTGTTAGGATCACAATCTTGATCAAGCACCAATAAGAATTCTTATGTCCCGAGGTACGCGCACCCTATAATGCAGTCCTTTTTAAGCGTAGAAAAGATTTTTCATGGAAATCATACCGCTCGACGCGCGATCGCCGTGCGCAAAATCCTGGAGTCTTAGTACCATTTACGCTGCGAGATCGACGCGGCAGTCTACCGAACGGACTACCGCGAACGATCGGCCCTTCCGTCTCCCGCGAAAGAAATGGCATTTCAATCGTGCTCCTGTTTAATAACTTCGATGGTTATTGGTGCTTGAGCAATTTTCCTGACGCGATTAAGGCACTGCAAAAGACTGATCCTCCGTAAAAGCTACTGATCTTCCAAATACGCGCGGTCCATTATGTTAAAGAGACGTTAACGGCGTAATATGCGAAGACCGAGTCATCGGTGATTCAATGTTTGAAGTTATCGTGTAATAAGGCCCAGAGAGACTGACCGAGAACTGTCATTTTCCCGTCGATTAGTTCATTCGACAACTGTAATTACACGTAAATAGATTAATAAAAAGCAA